TGCCTGGGCTTCATGGGATGACACCAAAGTGTTGGCAAAGGTATTTATTCAATCCAAGTGCCCTGTAATAAAAACAGAATATTTTAGCAAAATTTCAAGCAGATCCCATGTGTCACACGATAACAACACCACTGTTAGGGGATCTCAGGAGACCGCCTTGAAACAAATTCTAGTTTTGTTTGATTTTTGTATAGACTCACACCTTTACAGGGTACAGATTAGTTCACAATATCCAACAGGATTGGGCTTTTTGAACCAAGTACAGTATTTGTTTGTTCACGAGGGAATGAGTGAAAGAGAGGAAGTATTGTCCTATTAAATGTAACCCTGTGAAGCAGGCCATTTTTATACCTTTACCAAAAACATGACACATATAAGCAACCTAACTGTGTGGTTACATCAAGAGGGGTCTGTGACTCATGAGACACTGAATTTACCTGCTTCCCAAGGTAAGGCCAAATTACTTATGGTTCTGAGAGTACATGAAAGAAATGCTGATGATTTCAAATCACTGAAGCAATCAACGGAGGACAAATGTCACTGATTAGTGACTAATAATCATGATTATTATTACCATTTTTATAACTAGGACTCAGGAGCAAAATTTGAAAAGAATCATTTTAGCTACACACAAAATTGTTCCAAATTAGGAAACCAGACACGTGGGTCTTCAAAGGGACCTCTGCCTTTGTAACCCTTTGCCTTTTTCATCAAGGGGCTGAACTGACAGCAGTGGGCAGTCGTGAGCACCACCCCCAGGCAGGCTTGGCCCCTGGAAGGTGAAGTCTAAGTCCAAACCCAAAGACATCCAGTAGAGCAAGAGATGTTCTTCTGATTGTGTTTGGACCTTGGCTCACAAGGGAAGAGACAGAAACTAGACCAACGCTTTTCAAATGGAGCTGCCAGCAGCTGATTCAGCTGGAATGTAATTTATGCTAATAAATTCCTGGATTTCAAAGTGACTTTTTTCTTATCACGCTAAAACCCTTAATTTGGGTATATATTCCTAAGTACAGAATGGGTGGGGAAATTCTCCATCAAAAGCTAGGGATACAATTTGGTCCTTTCTAAAAGGAAAGGGGGAAAATTACATTCTGAAGGGTTGGAGGAGAGTGAGAAAGAACTTGTGTATGGCTTTTAAACAATTTCCTGCGACACAGTTTTTGATTTCACAGACCATTTACCTCTAGAACAGTTTATCATAATTTAAAGATGGCAGCGTCACCCGAGGACATTCACGTGCTCTGCAGTGGATGGAGGAATCCAGCTGATTTTACGTGCAATGGGAACAGGGAGTGGGTACCAGCTGAACCAGAAGCTTCTGTTCTGGTTCCAGTTCCACCACCCCCTCAGTGTGTGACATTATTCAAGTTACTTACTTACTACAGGACTCAGTTTCTTCATGTATTAAACTGCATCAACTGTGATAGTTAACACTGGATGATCCTTTACAAGCCTTTTCGTATTAGGTTTTTCTAAGCCAATGTCTTCCAATTTTTTTTTTCCAGTACCGGGGATCGAACTCAGGACCTTGCACTTGCAGGGCAGATGCAGCGCCACTGAGCTAAATCCCCAGCCCTTCCAAATTTATTTTTTAATGTGGCCCATAATAAAAACATTTTATATTATGACCTAGTAATACAGTTATAGGCTTATATAATTATTATAGGACATGTTATTTATACATATGCACACATACATAGTAGAATACATGTTATAATTACACATGTGCATACGCACACGTTTCATGAAACAGTATCTGCCTTTGTTAGCTCAGATGCATTAGATTTTTTATTCTTTGTCATTAAGAGGAACTGGTCAACTGTCACTAAACTGACTTCATGTCTGGCATTTGGATAACCACTCTGGGATGCACAGCCTTGCATGGTTAGGAAGCCTGCGGGTGAGTGTGGGTGAATGGAAGGTCAGGGCTAGCAGCTCTGTCGCTGGAGAGAGAGGCTGGTGCACACATGGAACGGGTGTGCCGTACCCAGGGCGGAAGTTAGGACAGATGAAATAAGAATCACCACAAGTGTTCTCCCACTGTGAAATGACCTGTTTTAAGCTCTGTATAATTGAACTTTGATTTTTCATTCTATAAACAAACTTTTATTGAAACTTCCTTTTACTGTTTCATTGGCCTTTAACTCATCAGAGAAGCTCAGCTTATTAATAGATAATTTCTGCTTTTAAACAACTCTGTAGCTTTTCCTAGAATAATTTTAAAAAACACTTGTTTTTTTTTACATTCATGTTTAAAACCATTTCAATTTTTTTTGGTACCGGGGATCAAACTTGGGACCTTGAGCTTGTGAGGCAGGCACCGGAACCACTGAGCTACATCCCCGGCCCCAAACCATTTCTATTAATACAATTATCTACCATTTTCCTTCTGTGCCCAGAACCTATTGCGAGGGAAGACACTACAAGGAGCCTCCAGTCCTTTCATCTTTTCCCTCTCCTCGGATTCTGCCACACCCAGGGCTGCCACCTTGGGTTCACGTCTTGGTACAGAAGGGCCTCACAGGGAACCCCATCTTCCTAGCTCCCAAGGTTCTGGTACCAGGTGTTTCTCCCCAGGATGAGCAACTGGGTCTGATTTCCCAAGCAGTGCTGCCCTTTTGGTGTTAAGCCAAACCACAGGTATTAAGGATATTTCCAATGGTTCAAACATCTAAGGGAATATTTCATTCAGCTGAGAGAAATCTCAAATATCTTTTTTCAAAGGTTACATTACAAAATAACTCCTTCCAGTTAACACTTCTAAATAGAAGATGATTGTGGTATTTTTCCCCAACCGTACATAATTCATAATCTCTACTAGCATCAACAGATATCTTTAATGAACTTATCAATAAAGATGGTGTTCCAAATCCATCTACTATACTCCTCTTTCCCTTATACTACTTATGCTCAACTTGCAGCGGACTCTACACTTCCATATTATCCTCACCTAATGGCAGCGGGGCCCAGAAAGACTTGAGCTTTTGGCTGCTTGTGAAGTTGAGTCCCTGGGAGAGGAGTGTGGCCCAGCAGTTATTTGCCTTTGTGTTCTTGGCCGTTACCTTGCAACGCCTCAACCTTATCAACTCAGTATTTAAAAGCTACCACAATGTCTGTATAACCCTCACACAACACCTTAGATACACAGAAGAGAGAGCACTCCACCCAGAGGCCAGTGACTGCGGGGTTCACGTTAATCCTTGGAATCTCAGCCTGCCCCTCCCTCCAAAGGACAGGATCCAGTCTCTCCAGTATGCAGTTCCCACCAAATATGCGTTATACCAGTGAAATGTTTCAGGTTTCTTTTTTTCTGGGGGCAGAGGCTTTAGGATTTACTTCTGTTAGTTTACTTTCCACACTCCACTCTTCCTGGAGCTGCCTAAATAGTCCACAGGAGGATTCAAGTCAGACAGGCCTCAGAAGGTGCTGACTGCCGGGATGTCTTCATTGAGCATGGTCACACTAAGTGGCAACTCCGTGTCTGCTCCCAGCCGCTGTGCCAGGGTCTTGGCCTTCAGATGTTCCTAGAATCCTGCCGGCAACACTGGTTTGTCAGTGTGAGCTTTACAATGGTTTTGCATCCACAACAAAATCTGAGGGTAAAGTAGTATGAGTCTCTTCCTGGGTTGGAATTATTTTCTTTACTATGCCATAGGACTTAAGAGCCAGTTAGAAGAGCAGAATTTTAAGTAATACCCTGTATTGGTGCATTTATAAAATATATCACAAATAAAACAGAACAAAAGAATCTGGTATAACAGGATTAATTTTTTTCAACCTTTGGAATTAAACTTTTCCTTTTCCTGAATATTAAAAGCATTAATATTTTAACCTCTGAAGAATATTGATAGGTATTATGATCAAGGACTCAAAATATTTAAGTTTTTAAATATAAATTTAAAAATCTACTCATCATATACTAACCTGGTGACTTCGAGTTATCTGAAGGGTAACATAACAATAACCTTAAAACTCAAAATGGGCTTTAGTCAAATATCATAAAAGCTAAATATCATGGCTCCATCATTAGAAAACACTAAGAATGTAGGCAGAAATAGAATTTCATAATTTCTATTTTAAGTTTTTCAAAATGGTACACTAGTAATTGATTCCTTTATATTTTGGTTGCATGAAATGGGTCCTTTTAAAAAACAAAGTAAAAAGAACAGTCAGGCAAACCCAGCTGGGGTCGCTGGGCAGTGCTGAAGCCACAGTGGCCTCTCCTCACCCTTGGTATCAGCAGCCCAGTGCCAGGGCAGCAGGCATTGTGGCATGTGGGAAGGCAGACCGTTCTGCTGGCTCCCACTTGCTGGCTCCCACAAGGCCAAAGTCCAGGCAGAAGTTGGCCTTGTGGGGTTCCTGTCATGCTGCCAACCCACAGCCCTCCAGGGACACTGCTTGGGGGACACAGGCCAGATCCCACGTGAGAAGTCATCTCCACATCCTCTTCATCAGCAGGTTCAATGAAAGAATTCCCTTCGATTAGATCTTATGGTGTCATGCTCTATGCAAGAGAAAGGGGGAAAAGCAACTTACTTAGTATCACACAAGAGAAAGGAAAGGGTTCTTCAAAACAGTTAATATGGGAACGAAGCCCAACACCTGCACCTCTCAGCTCAGCTTACTAAGTTTCATTTGCCAATGATTTTTTGAAATTTAAATATAATTATGATCCTATACTTTGGACTTTGTATCACTGTTTTCTCAAAGAGAGTGGCCCTGAACCACTGCCACTCAAATCCATAATAATCCACATACCATTTGACAAGTCAATACTCTAAGCAGAGACCCACATTGAAAAAGATGTCCTCAAAAAGAGGCATTCATTGCCATTCTTAAGGCTTTGACTAGGAAATATTACCTTTAATAAGGTGCCTCAAATACCACGTATGTGTACTCAGATGAATACTCACACACAGGTGTAGATGTGCAGAAACAAACACGGTCTGCTCACACAGACATGCAATCTCTTTTCTGAACCAATAAAGACAACATGCTACTAAGGAGCATTTGCATTTTATTGCCCTTTCTCCTCCCAGAAAAGTGAAAAATCATACTCTTACATAATTTCTTTCAAATGGATAAACTTAGACAATTTATCAACGCTTCCTTAAATTTTTACACCACACTGAACTCCAACAGGTTTTTGTTTTAAGGTAACCCAGGTTTTGGGTTTTTCCCTGTGGAGAAGTTACTTTCAAGTCAGTGAAAGTTCTTGGCCCATGATTAAAAGTCTTTGCCAATTAGTACTCAACAACTTCAATTCATTTTTTCTGGTTCAAGATGAGTAGGAGCCTAATAAGGCTGTGATAAAAGGGCAAAAGGCACTGAGAGCCAAAAGCGGATTAATGAGCTCCTCCATTTATTTGTCTTCCTAACAGCTGAACTGTTACAACTATTGACACTCTTCAAAAGGTTCCGCTCTGAACCCTGTCCAGGCGCTGCAGGCTCCAATGGACATCTTCAAATGCAGAGGATGGAGGGGCAAGAGCTTCCCCTGTGTGATGCCAAAACCAACAAAGCCCCATGGATCAGGTAATGAAACTTCAGCTTTTCCCTCTTTGAGATTTATTTACTGGCAGCTGACAAGGGGCAAATTCAGCTCGAATTGTGCAGTCAAGGCCTGTCAAGCTTTTAGGGGCGCCCTTGTCTTGAAGCACCTTCATGACTGGCATTTCGCTCAAAAGCCCTCGGCACTGGTCCTTAACAGCTTATGACATCACAAAGGACACTCCAGACAGATGCCTACATGGCATCCTGCAGCATTTTAAAAGAGAATTAGTGGTTTTAATTATGGTCGTAGTATGAAAGGGAACCATGCAAGCTCTGCAGGAGACCTTTGATCAGACCCTTTTGCTAGTACAATGCCACGGAACTGTGACTATTCCTGGTAAGGGGCCTTTTCTTGCTGAATGACTCACCAGTGATCTTTGAATGCAGACAAGCTTCTAGCCCTCCCTCTTCATTAGTGAGCATTTCTATACAGGGGCCTATATAGTGCCTGCAGTCTAGGAGCCACACAATTGGGGGGAAAGAATCCCTACAGATTCAGGCCTCTACTTAGGAAGTACTGAAGGACTCTGAGTGACTTTATTCATTAAAACAGGTTGCTATTAATTAACTGTCATAATAAATAAAGAACGATTATTTGCATTTCTTCCTAGGTTCTCTTTAGTAATAGGTATAAAAGATGCTTGTAACAGAAATGAATTTATTGAACACCCCTCCTGTCCTCATGCACTTCTTCTGCATTTGGGCAGCAGGAACCTACTAATTGTTGGGTCTAGATTTGTGAGTCCAAATAGAAATAAAATATAAAATTAATTAAGTAAATATGAAATGCTTTTCACTCGCCAGTTTAGGCACCAAATTAGCTTTTCTTTTAGTGAATGCAGAGAACCATCTGAGACAATACAACTCAAACTTTTCCACAATATTACCTGCTTGGTGTGTAGCTTGCAGTGTGACATACACAACAACGACAGTTCCTTTTTTTCAAAAAAGGAATTTTAAACATGAAGCATAACATTATTCATTTTAAAAAAACTATTTTACTTTCAGGAAACAAAATGTCTTTGGTATGAAAATTTTAAGAATTTAACCTATATAATTGATACCAATAAGCATGGTCCTTAAAAGGTTCATGGTCAATATTTTAAATAAATGAAAATAGCGCATTCTCTTCTAGAGTTTAATCAAGCAGAGTCATCTGATGAAAGACTGTGGCAGTAGGAAGATGTCTTTTCTAAAGCCTCTCATGGAAATACTAATATGGTAACAAGCGGTAAACAGAATTTTGCATAAATACAAACATTGATTAGGCAGTACTGCTGTACCAGGATACTTATATCTGGGTAATAACTTAGTTTGCAGTTTCTTTTCTTGGAAGAAAAACTTTTGGACTTCAGGATTTTGGAAGCTGAATGAAAGCAGGTTTTTCACATTTTGCTGTCTCTGACATTTTTAATATTTCTCAGACTTTGCAGTTTTTTTCTCAGGTCCTTGAGAGCAGCTAAAATATCAGCGAGCTGTGGATCATTCTGTGCTTTCTGAGTGTAGAGATGAAAATGTCTGATGGTTTCAGACAACAGGACTTCGGCATCTGCATCTCTCTCCTGAAAGTGCAGCATCCTCTCACAGGCGATGGCATAGTTTTTGTGCCAATTCACTGGGTGTTCCTTTTGTAAATAGACAATCTCCTTATAAAGCTGGAAAACAGCAAAAATGTTGGTATTCCATTGTTATCCCTTGACTTAAAAAGAAAACAGAAAACACAGAGAAATTGACAGCACAAGAAAAAAAATCCAAGCAGCCTACAGTAAAAATCTAATCGTTGCTAGGCCATGCAGAAAATGCAGGATGTTACTGTAATTATTACAGTAGCAGGAGGCAAATATGCTTCATCTAAAAGCGCTTCTGGGGTTTTCGGGTGCTGCGGGAGGAACTGACACACACTGTGTCAGGGCAAAATGCTCTTCCTCCAGAAAGATGTTCTGGGAAAAGGATTTAGTTCTAACTTGTGGAAAGCTATTTACTCAACAGGCAGAGAGGCTGAAACTCTAAATTTAGCTGCTGGAGAAAAAAAGTAGCTTCCTTTAGAAGACTGTGTGGCAAAAGAACTGGAAGAAATTTAAATTTTGTCCCACGTTATTTCCATGAATTTCTCTTGGCATTAAAGACAATAGGAGTGACAACAACAGAACAATCCCAACCACCCCATCCTGGAGGAGGCTGGAAAAACAAGGTGAAAAGCACCCTTAACCCAAAATACTGTAAATCTTCACCACAGTCTACAGTTTACAATTTTGAGAGTTAAAACTTTGCTATATTTCAGAATTTTGATTTTCCCACATCAGACAGTATTAACTGGATACAATTAGAATTTTCAGTATTGAGGAAAGGAAATACCTGAAAATTTAATGTGTAAACAAAAAGCAGAGGAAAATCACAAAATGAAGCATTACGTTTGCTTCTTTGAGAATGTCACAGCCTTCGTGGCGACCATCAAGTCAGAGCTGGATTCCCAGGAATATTCCAGAACCTCTCAACAAGGCAGGGTAGTGATACTTTCAATGGGACCCGGGTTTTTGAGTTAGAATTAGGTTGCAACATTGTTAATTTGAAAGGGACCAACTGCATTATCTACTTCCGCAGCTCCTACTCCAGAGCAGACAAATGTACACTGATTTCAAGAGTGTCTTTGTCAAAAACTCCACAATCCATGTTGAGACATCATTTCCATAGTTAATAAGCCTTTGCCTTCAAGCTGCCTTTTAAAGCAACTTCTGTAGTTAATCTAAGTTTTATAAAATATGAAAAAATCACCATGTACTTTGTCAGGTCAGCGTAAGCCCTCTAACCCTCTTGGTAAAACACACAGTCTCTCTACCCAGCCTTCCTACTCTGTCTTCTCCCTGCATCCTGAGCTTCCCTCTGAGGAGGAGGGATATGCAGCGCACAGCAGGTGCCGACACCAGGTAGGCTCTCAAAGTCCGCAGAGGCAGCACTTCCAGGAGTGTTTCCCTGAGTGCTCAAGAAACCCAGAGGCTCACTGTGACCCATCCACTGCAGTCGCAGGCATCAGAACATTCTGTGGCTTGGGCAGCATTAGCTAATTCTGGGTGGCCTGTTAAGCCACACGTGCTGAATCTTGAGAAGCCAATCACTTCTTGTTGTGTGGAGCGCTATCTCCTCCTTTGTGTGTGTTACTACAGTACTGGTCTTAGAGGGCGGCCTTCCATTCGTTCGGGACATCCTTACCTGACCCAGTGTTCCCCAAGGAGCTGGCTACTGCTTGCTTCCCTTCTATCTCGGAACTTAATATTACCTGAACTTAATGCCTTGTATAAGCTACTAAGTGGGATAATAGGAAAAATATCCTTTGTACCTAGCAAGAATGTTCTTGAGGAATCAGCACTGGGGTGGGTCTGTGTTGACCCATCAAGTAATTGGCCACAATTTGCTTGTAAATACAATCACATAACTGGAGACAGGCGAGGAGACGCCTACAGTGCGTGTGCATGGAGAAGGGCAAAGCTCACTGCTCACAGGGACCACAGATGCACAGGGGAGCCTCAGCACGGCCTAACAACCAGCATGGAAGACCTCACTAACGAGAACATGAAATATCAGTGAGTCCCAAACAAAGACTGCTTGTGACATAGAACTACATAGGCATAGAGCTACAAGGCATTAGAGATGAATAGGAAATGAGAGATGACCAGGATGTGAGATCTAATATTTTAAAGTTCAATGTCCATTTTTAAAAAAGAAAAAATCAAGGCTTCCAAAGGTTAAGTGACTCATAGTTGACAACACGTGGCGGAATGGCCAGAGAACCTGGCCCTGGCCCTGCCAGGCCCCAATCCGAAGGCCATGCCCACCACACTCAGGACTCCTGTCTGCCCTCCCATGGGATGCGCCTGTGGCTTCCTCCGTATGGACGGCCTGCTCTCGGTCTCTGGCTTCCTGGCTCCGCCATCTGTCTGGTGAGCTCCTTCTGGTCATTCAGACGACAGCCCAGTGACATCTCCTGCCCAGCTGGCTCAGCCCAGCTCTGCTCCCCCAGCCCTCTGCACTCATAAGCCTGCACTATCAATGAGGACTCGGCCTCCTGGCTCCCTGTCTAGCTTGCTACCTTTCTTGAGGGCAGGAATAAGGCCAGCTGTCTCCAGCACAATCTGTGTTATGGAACAGCTATGCAGTAAGGGCTCTGTGAGTGGTGAATAAATGAATAAAGTCAATGATCAGAGTTCAGGAGTAGAATCAGTCAACTATTTAGACCCCACGCTGTTCTGACTCAGCCCTAAGCAAATGCCCGGAGAGACACATGGCAGTCCAGAGACAGCAGCAGTACCCGTGGTTCACACACACAGTTCTGGACTCTGTGTCCATGGGCCTTGCCAGGGTATCTGTTTACTGCACAGCAGACTCCAAGCCTGCCTGCAGGAGTTGAAGAGCCCAGTGCTGCAGATGACAGAGGCAGAGACTTGGGGGAGAAGTACAGCAGCGAGGCTCTGGCCCATGTGCCCATTTCCCAGTGGGGACAGATCTGGAGAAGGCCTCAGGGTGACTGCATTTGGAAGGTTTGTTCAGCTTCCTGGGGCCAGTTAGGAGGGAGCATCTCTCCATGACCTCTTTACTCAGGAAATCTCAACTAGCTGTGGCCCTCTCATTTCAAGTACAGCCAGGATCAGGACTTCTGCATAGAGGGTAACTTGCCAGAACTTTTAAACTTTTTAAATAAAGCCATTATATTAGTTTCCTGTTGCTGCTGTAACAAATGACCACAAACATAGTGGCTTGAAGCAACATACATTTATTATCTGTACTTCTGGCAGTGAGAAGCCATAAAATCAGCAGAGCTGTGTCTGCCGGGAGGCTCTGTGGAGACTATTTCCTTAGTCTGGCCAACCTCCAGAGGCAGCTGCACTCCCCAACCCACCGCCACACCTCCGCCTCCAGCGCCTCGGGGTGATGCATCCCATCTCCGCTCACTCTCACCCCCTTCCTTCCTTGCCCAGGCCGCTGTTAGACTTCACGTCCACCTGGATAATCAAGACAATTTCCCATTGTAAGACCCTCAGCTTAATCAAATCTACCAAGTCCCCACTGCCATGTAAGGAAACAGTTACAAGTTCTGGAGTTTAGGACACAGACATCCTGCAGAGGGACGGTATTGTGTCTACTACAGCCATTTACTTTAGACACTGTGATCATATGGAACATTTTCCCTTATATACTGCTTTACAATGTCCAAACGAAGCTGGAAGCAAAGAATAAAAAACTGTTACACAGGGCCGGGGATATAACTCCGTGGCATCGTGCCTGCCTGGCAAGTACAAGGTCCTGAGTTTGATCCCTGGTACCGAAAACAAAACTGTTGTACACCCTTCCCATCCCAAACAATCACTGCCATCTCCCCACCAAATACCCATCTTTATAAAAGAATAACATACGTTATATGCATGAGCGTAGAGCTGAGCTTTCACATCTGAAGGCACATTCACAGTTTCTGCCAGGTTGAAGATAAAAAACGGTGTCTTCATCCTGGGGTGGGAGTGGGGCCTCGCATTACAGTCATTGTCACCCATTTCACATTCAGGGCTAACTGCTCGGACATGGCGTGTACAAAACCCTCTACTGTATCATTTTTCATTCGCTCATATTCTTAGAAACTTATTCTAAACCACCAGCAACTCCGTTCCCCAAAGACACTGCATTCATACTTACTATCAAATCTGTCAGGAAGAAAGTCTACATACATCACTGCTATGTCACACTGGCCTCTTCCAGCTGTACATTGTGGTTATGCCAGGGCAGGCGGCAGGGGGGTGTGCTGGGTCTGTCGGACGGCCCTGGAGGTGCTGCCACAGCAGCTCATGCCACGAGTGTGCCTAGTTCTGGAAAGACGGCTGGGCTCTTTGACTACACGAACTCATCCAAGTTGTATTCAGCACACCAATTACATCAATACCTGCCTAAATAAAGACCTGCATTCTTCTTTTATGTGATTTTTGCTCGGCTTTCCTGCAGTCAGTCACAGTGAAGAACGGTGTAAACATACAGCCTACCTCCACTTGGGTCTTCAGTGTCTGTCCCTGTAAGTAGACTGATAACTAGAAATGGGCCATTTCTGACTTTTTAATAAACACTGCACAAACTGTCCTGTGCTTATGTTTTTAACATTAGAGCTGTATTTCTTGACAGTTGGTTATGAGCCTCTTTAAACTTATGAAAGCCCTTTATACTGCAACTCAGTTCTTAGTGTAGTCCCTGGCACAAACTGGGCATCGGTACATTTTTGTAGATGGGGGCACACTGTCTGTACTACTTCGGACCTGTACATTCATGTTCAGGCCAAGGTCCGCTAGTGTAAGTTGTCTGGATTACTTAAAAACAGTAACAGGGAAAGGAGGGAAAGGGAAGCAGTGGCTGTCATTACACAGTGTTTTGTGCAGGACATAGTAAGCTTTTCCTGCCTGACAGGAAAGCACAGTGTCTTTCACACTAACAGTGAGACCTCTCTTACATGCCAGTGTGCTCTGTCAGACTCTGAGCTCCGTGAGGGCAGCAACTGTGTTCCAGCGACACGTGCAGCTCTGATGCACAGGATGCTGCCTGACCTTCAGGAAGTACAGTGGACTGACCCTTGACTTATGAACTCAATTCGTTCCTGAGCTCTGGCTGTAACTCAAGTTGGTCAGTGAAGGCTCAGGCTCCTCTACACAGCCTTCAGCGTCTCTCTCCTGTACACAGGCAGATCTCAGTGTCCTTAGAGAGACACTGGCCCAGGATTTCTCAGTTAACACCATACAGGAAAGAATGTTCATGTTCCTTCCAGAGCTCTTTAAGGGTTAAATCTGTATCTGAGACCATCTGGAAGCACAAGCAGCCAACATCTGGGTCTCAATTCAAGAGTTTGGTTTTAAGTTAAAACTAAAATTCTGGTCATAAGTCAAGTGATTCGTATGTCAGGCCGGTTGTTAACTTGAGAGTTCACTGTATTAAACAGGTGCCAGCTGAACAGCTACCAGCACATTCTAACAGAAGCAGGGTTGTAATGAAGTCTCACTCACTCATGCTGCTTTATGGGAAGCACTGTAGTTCAGTGTCTGCGAGCTTGGGTTCCAGCACAAGCAGCAAGCGGCCTTGGCCATGCACCCTGTCCCCTGAAGCATGCCGTTCTATACAGTGGGGGTCAGTAACCTCATGGGGCTTTAGGAGGACAAAACGAGACTATTCACATGCAATGGCTCAAAGGAAATAGCTGCTTATGTTGTTTTTATACTCTCAAAATGGAAAGCGCCAAGGCTGCTGCTCCGCTGTGTGTGAGTAGACTGATGCGTGCATAGAGAAGTTACCTTGCCTGCCACATCTCCTCATTGGCCACAGACTCCCAGGAAGATGGGTCAAACCTGCAGGGACAGGAGAGGCAGCACCTGTCAGCTCACCGCCGCGACATGAGACGCTTCAGTTTTACAAGACTGCTGACATGGGCTGCTGACAGTAACCCAACTAAAAACCAGTTCAATGGTAAGGAACTGAGGCTTCGAGGAAATGTGCTCCTGATCCGCATAACAGGCTCTGGAGCCTCACAGGAGCAAAGGACTGCTAGGAGAGGCTGGGGAGCTCTGGGGCTGCTGTCCTGCGAGCTGTGAGACTACAACAGGTGGCAGAGGTGAGGTGCAGGCCACCCTTGGGACCCAGCGGAGAGCCAGGGGATGAGCTACCAGAGGGTCACCCCTTGCCGGAGCCATCATGCTGCCGGAAGAAGGCTGTGCTGATTGGTCTTAATTAACACTCCCTTCAGCGCATGCTTATTGGATAGAAGGAAGACAGTGAGTGACACTGTGTATGTGGACCATTCACCAGCTATCTGGAGATGTCATCTGACTTTTCCTCACGCAAGCCACAGATGCTTCCACTCAGGCCTCACCACCTCACTCTGGCAGCTCCACACAGTGAGGTCTGTCTATGCTGATCAATACCTACATGGCATGGGTTCAGATGGTCTTGTCACTTGTTCTTAAACTGTATGCAATAAGTCAGTGGTGGCGAGCCTATGCCATGTGGGCTGCAGCGGGCATGCAGAGCCATCTCTGTCAGCACATGAGCCAAGTGTATGAGTTATTTTTTCTAAACCAAAAGCTCAGTATTCAGGTTTAATTGCAGTGTTGGCACTTTGTAATAAATAAGTGGGCTTTGCATTGCATTTTGGGTACTCAGTCTCTAAAAAGTTCATCATGACTGCAATAGGATATATAATCTTTAAATACAGTAATTCATAATTTAACAGATAATGGGCAATTTCTTTAGATGGTGACTTATTTTCCGTATGAGAGAGTAGAAATGCTAAAGGAACACTAATAATGTCCCCCAAAACATAACCAGGTTAATATCCAACAACTGTGAAAAATGGACCCAAACTCAATCTTTCCTACAGAAAAATGATTTGCATTTTTTTCTTTTGTCAGTGCTGGGGATTGAACCTAGGGCCTCATGTATGCTAGGCAAATAGGCAAGTATTTTACCACTGAGCTACACGCTCTGCGCATATCTGCCATTCTTGAAGGAAAAAAGCATGTAACAAGTTCATGCATGTGGACACTGTCTTGGGCCATCAAGTGCCTCTTCAACCTCGACTGCAGTAATAAATCCCTTCTAGTTTTAGGGTGATAAGATGTGGGGTGGGGCCAGGAGACAAAACAGCTTCAGAAGGCATGGACACAGCTGGGGTCGTGTGTGTGCCTGCTGTGGTATGCACTCGACACCACCTCTCCCCCTCTGCCTCCTGCCATCCTGTGAACAGGAGGAAGAGAGATGTGCTGTTTTTCTGTATTTGTTTTATGACACTTTGTAGGCAGCAAATCATTTTAATAATTCATAAAAATGCATGCAGAAACCATTAGATCTCAAAATGTAGCATTTTTTAGGTAAGCAAAAGTGCTATCTTCTGCTTAAAAATAGAACTGCTGTTCCTACCTCCCGTATTCTTCAGTCCAGTTATAGATATTTTTTGTGCGTTTAACCCACTCCTCGGGGTTGAATGCAATCTCCAGGGGAACTAACTTGTCACAGGACCCCCAAGGCCACAGTGAGTACGTCTTCCTCCAGGTTGGGTCACCTTCATGAATCCCTATGCAAACAAATGTGTCCTTCCTGTGGGAGGCAGAAAAAATATATCTTAACTTAAAATTCTACATATTTAATATAATTCATGAAAAGTCGCTTTTTACTCCTTAAACCCTGGTTACCAATAAACCATTTGGGAACAGGCTGGCTTATTTAAATCTTGCCCAAATAGGTTGTTTGAAATTTATTTTTGTGTAATAATGTTGCTTTTAGGGACTGAAGGGAAGCAAACAAACAGATGAAAAAAATCTTCCTCTCTGTAACATTAAAGAAATACTTAGAGACAGGCACTGTTACGAGAAAAACTGCTGTGGTATTGTCCCACATGGAAACAAACATTTTCTCTGATGCCTCTTTTTATTTTACAGGTGGAAATACTGAGATTCTTCTTTTGTATCCCTACTTAAAAGTAGTCTTTCCTTCCTCAAATTCCTATTACCCTTTGCTGCTTTTTTCAATGTTTTTGTCATTATTGTTTTGTACTTATTATTTGCATTTGTCCTAAGGAGGGCCCTCTATTCTTGAATTAACTCTGAATCCCACACAGGATGATGAATACCCAACACAGTAAATACTTGCTGGATAAAATTAATTAGATTAGAATAACTGCAAAAATTAGTAACAGATATGGTTAAACAAGCCTGATTCAGGAAAAATAACTGAATAGTTCTCTTCCAATTTGTAATTTTTTTTTTTTTTTTTTGGTACCTGGGATCAAACTCGGGTTCCTGTGCTTTCGAGGCAGGCGGCAGAACCACCGAGCTAAATCCCTGGCCTCCAATTTGTAATTTATGACTTAGTTTTTACTATAGGAAAGAAAAGGGGGCATATGTAGGGAAATTGGTTAAAAGTAAAACACTTTGTAAAGTTTGAAAGAAAACACTTGTAGCTTAGATTTTAGATATTTTTCCCACTATTTATGGCCTCTAGGATTTTAGGAAAATCATTAAACTACTCATGTCTGGTCTCCTCATCTGTGAAATCAGTCTGGTAACTACTTTTCAGATCAAATGAAATGCTGGTATAAAGTACAGGGCTGAAACATGCAAAGTCTGGTTCTGGGAAAGGTGGAGGAAGCCTACTATCGCTCCCTTTGCATTCAACTATTGCTCTGGGAAGAAGCTCCTGGAAATGGTAGAAAAAAGACTGGGCATAGGACCAACATTAAAGTTCAATCAAATCAGCAGTGAATTATCATTTGTCTCCCTTCACTATTGCCTGTCCTATTCTCAAAGGACCAGATACCCAAAAGTACGTATCAAATGAGGATGAAAGAAACCTCCTGGGGTACTGGGGTAACCGGAAAAGAGAGCAATCAAGAAGGCGACCCTGCTTGTGTATGAACTCCTGGCTTACCTCTGAGCTAGGAGTTCTCTTGCTTTGCATGGATCTGATCCTCAATAGAGTTTGAAAAATTAACCACAGGGAAAACTACCACCCAGGTCTCAGACGAGACACTTGGTAGCACACACATGGCATTGATCCAAATATCACTGCAAATGTTTTTGAAAACTGGCAGTGGAGCCAGAATTCACAGAAGGTAGGCTAGAACTTGCAGCCTGAGATGGACCTAGCCAATGTTCTGCTAAACAAAAGCAAGCAAATAAAAAATAGATATCTTCTTGACATTTAAATAAGGCAGACATATTCAAAAGTCCAGGATAAAATCTAAAATTACTCAGCATATGAAGAAAATAGAAAGACATTTCAATTCCAAGTGAAAAGTCGGTAAAAGATATCGATTCCAAGATGACAGATGCTAGACTTGCCAAAGACTAGAAAAGCTATTAAAACCATGCACCAAGAAGTAAAGGCAAATACTCTTGAAATTAATGGGAAGACAGCAAACCTCAGCAAAGAAACAGAAGATATAAAGAGGAACCAAATGGAAATTATAAACCTGAAAAATACAATGACTGAAATTAAAAATTCACTGGCTGGACTTAATAGAAATTTGGAGAGAGGGTATGTCAAAGATGACAAATTGTACTGTTCAAACAAAGAGAGAAAAGGATTGAAAAAAGAATTCCAGAGTCTCAAGTACCTGTAGGACAATATATTGAAGTCTATATTTGTGTCATCAGTCTCAGAGGACAGGAAACAATATGGAACAGAAAATAAAAATATTTAAAGTAATGGCTGAAAAGTTTACATTTGTGAAAGACCTAATTTACAGGGTCAAGAAACTCTGCAAACCCCAAACACTCAAACCCATGCCCACATACCATATAATCTAACCACTGAAAACTAAAACAAATAAAAAAACTTGAAAGCAGCAGAGAAAATTTCAGCAAGAGAACAATGATTTAAATGTGGATTTCTCCTCATAAACACACAGATCAAAAGACATAAAATAACATTATCAATCCAGAGTTCTATGTCCACAAATATCCAAAAAAGGGGGAAATTGAAATAAAAACATTTTTGGATGATGGATAATTAAGAGGATCCACTGCTAACAGTTCTGCTCTAAGGACTGAAGGAAGAGCAACAGACCTGGTAAATGTCTGGAGAAATATTTTAGAATATTTTTCCTCTTAAGTTCTTTAATATATATATGAAAATTGGAAAAGAAAATTGGCATATGTATGATGTAATATATATAATAACACAAAAGTGTGGCGAATTAAACATCTGGACTAACATGCCGCCAGTAAGGTTTCTGTAGTCCACCAGTAGTGGTAAAGTGTCACCCCTAAATGACTGTGGCAAGTTAGTGTGCATACTGTAATCTCAAGAACATCAAGTAGAAAAAAGAAAAAAAACAACAGTAAGCAATTACAGCAAAAAACCAACAACAGCAAAAAATCACAAAAAACCAAAGAAACATTTACCAAGAGATACAGTAAAAATCTCAAGGAATAATTTTAAAAATCAATTTAAAAAGGCAGAAAAGGGAGAATGGTACAATAAAAAACAGGGAACAAATTGAAAGGAAATAATAAAATGAAATAAATCTAGACATATTGATATTTGTATTAAATGCAAATGATCTAAAGGTATCAGTTAAAAACAGCTATTATCTGTTCATTTCTTTTGCCTATGTATTGTACTCTGAGTATTTACTCTGAAGAGATGATAGTCTATTCATCATTGTTATTCTTTTATTATTTTGTTATGAAATTTTATTTTTCATAAAAAGCAAAAACCCCAAAAAAGATATAATGGATAGTAAAATAAGGCCTAAATATATGCTGTCTACAAGAAACCCATTTTAAATATGATACAGGTTGGTTAAGAGCAAGAGAATGGAAAACACTAATCAAATTAAAACCAATCAAAAAATCCAGAAGCATTTTTTTGGTAGATAATAAAGAAAGTTTCAAATACTATTCACTGAAGAAATTCAATAAATAGTGTGGGGATAATCTGACATCTTATATAGAAAAAACAACAAAACTTTTAGAAGAAAGCATGACAACATTTTTATGGCTTGATACTATGCTGAGTCCCTATATAGGAAGTCAAAAGTATAACCAATAAAACAAAAAAACTGGGTTTTACTGAAATAAAAAACTTTCTGCCACAAAAGACATTTGTAAGAAAATAAAAAGACAGAAAATACTTACAAAGTACATATTTGATAAATGACTCACATCCAGGACACATAAAGAAACCTTCAAAACTCAATAGGTAAAAAAAACAAGCAAACTACACTACTCAGCAACCCTAAAGAATGAACTACGATACACACAGCTTGGATGGCTCTCAAAGGCTGTGTGCTGAGGGAAATATATCATGACCAACAGACAACACGCTCTACGGTTCCCTTTGTGCGACATTCTGCAAGACGTAAAGCCACAGTAGTGAGGAGCAGAAGAGTGGCTGCCAGGGTCAGGGCCGTGGGGACAGGAGCACCAGGGAAGAGCAGCACAAAGGGGGTTTCCAAGCCAGACTGTTGTTCTGTATCTTGATTGTTGTGATGATTATATAAATGTATCCTTGTGTTAAAATTCATAGAACTGTACACCAGAAAAAGAAAAAATATTTTAGGGCTTGCTAATCATAAAAATAAAATATTTGTTCAATAAATATTGGCTTTCTTCCTTTTAAAAGTACCCATTTAGAGAGCTTTCATATGATGATGGAGAAAATCCCTATCAAGTTCCTCAGATCATTCACATCTTACACTAAGAAATTTCATTTTAAGTGAAATACTAATACTGTAATTATTATTAGAATTATTCTAATATTCTAATTTACTAGTACTAATTATTCTGTACTAATAACTTAAAATTCTATCTCCTCCACAAAAAACTACATGCAAAAAGGCATTTGTTCTAGCTTATAATTTTATTATAGTTAAATGTATATACCATGTTAATATCTACTAGACAGTCCTACTAATCTATTATTAAACTACAGCATGTGTCTACTAAAATATTTACAAAAAGTCTGTAAAAGCAGGGAAATGTTTGTATGCTGTTGAATGAAAAAAACAGGACTCTTACATTATACTTTCAACTTTATAAAAAATACACATCTTCGATAAATTTATTATTGATGAGTGATAGGATCACATTTGTCTAACTTTTAAATATAATTTCTTATTTTATAATTAACACATATTATTTTAAAATTAAATTTTAAAAACAGATACTAATAAATAATATTTATCCTGAGATTTTGTTAGTAAAAAACACTGACAAAACTTTATCACTATGTTAAAAGAGTAAAACTTTAGAAATAACAAAAATTTCTTAGGAAAATAGAATATTTGTTAAATTACCATGCTACAGCAAAAATAATGGCACTGAAGGCATTTCATTAATTACATAGGAGACACTGATGATGTTAGGTGAAGAAACTGAACAGAAAATGAGACACTGTCCTAGCTATGTAAAATATGCTATGTGTGTGACTTTGTCTATGTATAAGTAAATAATTTATGTTAAAACTGAATGAGATCCAAAGTAAGATATCAAACTAGTAGCAGTAGTTGTCCTTGAAATCCAGACATCCATAGCTTCATACTCTTCCAGCTGCCTAGCACTCCCAAGGGGCACGCAGTATTTCCATAACACTGTTCCTGGAACATCCCAGAGTCTTCCTAGTTAAACAAATGCTCAGTGGATGCCTTCAGGCAGAATTAATGGCTACCTCATTTGTGATCCCAGAATACTTAATGTCCACGGTCAGGAAATGACCTATTTAGTAGATACACACTGAGCGTTCCTTCTGACGCCATGAAGCCAGCGCAGAGGTGACCGTGGTGCTGCTAGTTACAGCCACACTGGCATACGTACACAACCAGGCTGTGGTCTACCTGGGTTTGGAACTGAGCTTCATTTCTCTTTTTATTGTCACAGCTTGACTCAAATTAAATTTTGTGGGACTGAATTGAATAAAATTCACAAAAATGCCATTTTGAGACTGGTAGGTCCTGCACTTGTCATTCTAGAAGAGTCAGTGTTCCTTACAGCATAGTTACACCCATTGCCTTCGTGTTACTCCACAAGCCTCTAGACACTGTCAGTCCACTCTTAGCAAGGGCTGATTTAACTTTAGGATTTACAAAGATTATTCTGAAGTCCTCTTTCTAAGAAAAAAAGTTATGAAGCAAATTTTCCTGTTTTTTCAAGCTCTAGATGATCTTGAACATCTCAGTAACAGGAGAAGTGTTAAAAACTGTACCACTGATAAGAGTTCTTATTGTTGACCTTAACTATGAATAATTTTATTTTCTCAAGTATGGGAATTCATAATTCTCATACTTTTTATCTCAGCTAGTGTAAACTGTAGGTGTTTTTCTTATTTATAAAAATGTCTTATCCTTTATAAAACAAAATCCTTAATCTATTTTTATACAGTGATTATTCCTGAAAAATTTGCTTTACACTTAAAAGGGGGCCATGGTGTTGATCAGGAGGAAACTATAATTGCTTGCAATACACCTGCAATGATTTCAAGCAGGAAGGCACATCTCCAATTTCTCTGAATTGTACTACGATCTTATTTGCTGTTCTTGCTAATCTGTCTTTATTTTTCCTTTACCCACAACAATAACATTTATTTCTGCCTGGCCTCATTTATGCACAGATATTCAATTTAATTACAAAGATAATCTCACCAGTGACAGGGAAATAGGTGTAGAAAATTGGTCTTTTGGATGAGGCACAGATGTTACAGAAACAATTTTAGAAAAGCTATTATATGAAAAGAATGCTTACTGTTTATTTATTTCAAGAAAACGATAAAGATTAAATGTGACCATTCCAGTAGGTAATACTCCTTCCACAGGATTCCACCGGTCCCCAGGAAAGTGGACACCTGGCAAATGTTTTGCCATCTTGGGTAAATACCACTCATAAGTCATCATCTGCCAGAAAATCGCATATGATATCATACTTTTAGTATACTTCTTTACAAAATCAAGTTTAGCAAGTACAAAAAAGTTCTAAAATGTGAATATACTTGTTCATTAATGGATCCTTTCAAGCACAACAGAGGAGTGTGGCCCTGGCCACTCTGAAAACAACCAAACCTTGGATTTTACGTCTCTGCATACAACTGTCCCAGCAACACCAGTCCTCAGTGTCATCACCTCTACTGTCACCCGAGGTGGTGTCTGGCTTTCTGCGAGGGCCTCCCGCCCCAGGCCCCAGGCCCCAGGCCCAGCTCTGGCCTGTTCCTCACACGACTGTGCTCCCAGGGACGAAGGACTGGCTCTGCTTGTCTCTGTGCACCCAGTGCATGGGAGGCACAGGAGAGTTCTTGAATGTTTGTTCAAAGTGAAATCTCTGTGAGGGTCAGGCTAGGCCGGGAAGGCAAGAGACAGAACTGCGTCGGTGAGCCACAGCTTCATCCGTTCCAAAGAGCAAGTGCTGCTCATCCCAGCGAATAAGACCCAATTCCCAATCCTGAGCTCAATCACAGAATAATTTAGGTCGCAAACGACAAACCCCTTTGACCAAAGTAGCTGAATTTACTAGCAGTGCCAAGCTAATTACAAATCTTTACATGTTCTTTCAATTAAAATAATTAGAAGAAAATCGCCTTTTTAAAAACTTAAATTTATTGGTACATTTCAGGTGTACAACGATTACACTCATCACTGAGAGCGTGCACCTGTACAGGGTCTCTCCGTTCTTATTCCCCTTCCCCTGCCCTCCCTTTAACCCTACACTCTCTCCTCTTTACAAAGACTTTGGTTCCATTGTTTTCCTTTTCTCCTATTTTTTTCCTCCCACTTCCTCTGCCCCTTTAGACTTTTCCTTCCTATTTCACATTATCAATTACACATTTTGATCCTCATTTACACTTTCAGTTTCTCACACCAGAGAAACAATTTGGCATTTACACACGTGTGTCCTATTTATTTCACTTAAGAGTATCGCCTCAAAGAAGTAAAAGCAGCAAATAAATACATGAAAAAAAGTTCAACATCACTGGTCATTTGAGAGATGCAGATGAAAACAATGCTGAGATTCCACTTCACTCCAGAAAGAATGGCTGCTATCATGAAATCAACCAAGAACAAATGCGAGCAGGGCTGTGGGGAAAGAGGAACCCTGCTCCACTGCTGGTGGGAGTGTAGACTGGTGCAAGCACTGTGGAAATCAGTATGGAGATACCTCAAAGAACTAGGACTGGAAGTCCCATTTGACCCAGCTATTCCACTGCTGGGGATCTTCCCCAAAGAATTAAAAGAATCCTACCACAGTGATATAAGCGCATCCGTGTTTATAGCGTCATAGTTTGTTACAGCTAAAGCTTGGAAACAGCCCAAGTGCCCATCAACTGGAGACTGGATAAAGAAGATTTAAAAGAAAATAAAATGTAGTACTACTCAGCCTTAAAAAATGAGAAACTAGAGACATTTATAGCTAAATGGATGCACAAGAAAATCATTTTTGTTTTTTTGGTACCAGGGATCGAACTCAGGACCTTATGCTTGCAAGGTAGGCAGCAGCACCACTGAGCTAAATCCCCAGCCCGAAGATCATTTTCTTAATTCAATACTTAATATATGCTTACTACTTAATTTTATACTTTTAATGTAGAGAGAACTGCTCTTTATGTAGAAGAGACAGTATATTGGCAACTTTGTTAGCGTTCATGCATCATTTCAGCAAGTGTGCATATGTTTTACTTCATGTAAGATATTTAACTAGCAAATGACTCTTTATTTATTTTTGTGGTATTAGCCATCAACCTGAGTAGCTTGGATTACAGGTATTCACCAACATGCCCAGCTATAAGTTAATTTTAATCTAAGTATACCTGCTAAAATTCAATAAATACTTACTGTATTACATTTTCTTACCCAGTAGCTTCAGTTTGGGAAAACACTGGTATTAATTAAACATCCTCTGTTAAGGACCTTCATGCTCCTCACTTAACTTTCATACTGACCTTACCACGTGAGAATAATTGTGTCAGACACTGCTGGTTACCCATTCAACAGCTACTGCTTTCCTTTTTTGCTGACGTCGCCCTATTTTGAGCAGGTAGCTCAGGGCAATAGAGTGGTTTGCGAGTGAGTATTGTAGGAGTTGGGCAAATGAACCCTCTCTGCTGAAGGTCTCCCAACACAGAGCTGGGGGAGTACAGGGCCCAGAAGAAGCACCTTGTTTTACGGTATGATGTTGGGAAGTGCACATTCATCTTGTGACTATGAGGGAAAAGTCAGAAAAGCTGCCCCAGAATATTGCTATCATTGAGTTGCTTATATCAATACCAAAGCCTCCTATTTTCCAACTACTCATTATGTGAAATAAAAACTCCATAATTTAATCTACTTTTCGGCAGGCATTCTGTGTTTTGCATTCTAAAGCCTCCTGCTTCATAATGATAACTTCTATTTCATGCATAAGGGAACAGAAGCTCTGAGAGGAAAAATCACTCATCCCTCTCACATGCCTCAGAAATGCTGGAAGGAAGACTGGATTTAGACCTTATTCTCTGTGAAATCCACGCTTCTCAACTGTATGGTAGCTGTTGCCCCAAATAGTACATATATATGATATAGGTATTTTACATACATATACACACACACAAATAATGCATACACATTATGTATAATTTAAGTGCTGAGATTGAAGTTGGAGCTTCATACATGCTAGCCATGTACTCTACCAATGAGCTGTGTCCCCAGGCCTTCCCAAAAGGAATTTTAATTCCTTTTGTATTGTGTATTTTGAATTGTGTATTTAAAATCACAGTACAATACTGTGTTATCAACAAGTTTTTTTCAGAAGCCACACTGAAGATCAAATCCATCAATTTGTATGCATAATACAAATGCAAACTGCTTATAAAATATATGCAATTTGCAAATTTCCCTAGATTATTTGAAAATTTGTTTAGTTTTCTCCCAAAATTCTAATTATTTTTTAATTCAACATAATTTATTAAGTATTCTAATAATTTGTCCAGCTGAACTAATCACATTATTCTTTCAAGATTAAGAATTTCTCTTTTCCTCATGATTCCTCTAAACACTAGTTAGATGTGGCCCCTTTTAGGTATTTATGGTCTAAATAATAAATCATGTTTAGATATAGTTTTTCAGTTGCAAAAAATTGTCTTCATAGCCATCGAAATTTCTACAAGTTCCCTCCTAATGTATTTTCGTCATAGGATCAGCGAAGATTATACAAAAATTCTACAGCAGAGTTTTGGTTAATAATTTTTATTTTGAGAAATTGAGATGTTTACTTTTCCACGGTATGATTTATATTAGATTCAACACAGAGTTAGGGTTAGGGTTAGGGTTAGTGCTCTACTCCTGAGCTACGTCCTTAGCCCTTCTGAATGTTTTATTTTGAAAACAGATCCTACCAAGTTGCCCAGGCTGGCCTCAAACTTGCGATCCTCTACTTCGTCCTCCCAAGTAGCTGGCGTTACAGGCATGCAGGACCAAGTCAACAAAACACAGTAATTCTGAAACCAGTCAGTTTAAATGATAGAAACAACGCATACGATTTGCATTATTAAACAAAAAAAGTGACATGTGGTCTAATAGTGATTATGAATAATGCACTCATCCATTATTTAAGACAGCTTTTTTCAAAAATGTTTTAAAAATGATTGCTATATTCTAAATGTATTTTACATATTATGTATTATATATTATATATACTTACCTCCTGATCCACTAATGAAATATCTGGCCTTAAGCCCTCGCAGTAGTGCATGTAACGGAGAGCATTCCCCGGCAAATCGCCTCTGAGTAAGATGATTGCATCATGGGGCATAGAGTCTAGAAGGTTCTTTGCAAACATATCGATCACATTGTTGCTCCTTTGGTCACAAATGCTAAATAGAAAGATAAAAGTTAAAGTTGCAGCACAGTTAGCTATGTTTTAAGAGTACTGCCATTCTTTTCATATCATACAATCTACATTTCATGTTTCAATACTTCCTAAGTTACATCCTCGGAGAGGATGTATATATTTGGGAAAAACACTATTATCTGATAAAAAAAAGAGAAAGACCTAACTACAACTGAAAAAACCCAGTTTCTGCTTTACATCTAGAATTTATAACCATCTTTACTATTTTTTTTAATTTTATTTTTTTTTTGGTACAGGGGATTGAACTCGGGTCCTTGCGCCTGTGGGGCAGGTGGCAGAAGCCCTGAGCTAAACCCCTGGCCCTGTAACCATCTTTATAAAAAGGGAAATGTTCAGTGTCCCAGAATAAGCGCTCCCCAAAGTAATTCAATTTCATCCGACAAAGCTAAGGTTTGTGACTCTATGTGGAATTAAGGTAATTTCATAATAATTCCATTTACACCAAAGGAACTTTCAGAAATGCAAAAGGAAACCTGCCAGCTTCTGATGTAAACCTGCATGCCGAGGCTGACCCTTCCCACCACTTCCCTGCACCCCAAGCTTCCTGCGGTTTCTCTTCTCTCAAGGCCAAGAAGTTTCTCTGGCCAAGGAGACCAACAAGGACGAGCAGGAGAGTGTGTTGGTTACTCCTCTCCAGGTGTTCTCTCCAGTGTGCTCTCTACTTCTCTCCACTGTTTGCTCTTGCCGACAACAGCACTACAGCTCTTTTAAAAAACAAAGCAGGGTTTGTAACTTCAAAGAAAAAGTGCATGAATTCTGAGAACTTAACATGAAAAGAGAAAAAGCATCAAAAAATGGGAGAAGGAATGTCCTTCCCGTTATCAGGTATCTTACATTTGATGGCGGTGAGGAGCACCGCCTGAAGTTACATCACTAGGTTGGCCTCACAAAGCAAACAGACTTCTAGGAATGCAGTATCACCCTGCCTGAGCGATCAGTGCAGTGGTTGCTGTTTCCTGCCATTGCTCCCCACCTTGCTGTGGGTGGCAGTACACATCCTGCCACCCAGCAAAGTAGCTATTAATGCCATCCCCTTGGGGGACACAAAGATGGCAAAGCAAGCTGAGCTCCCAGTCTGTGCACACATCTCGGTGGCGAGGCTGGTGGAGAGTGACCTGAACCCAAGAAACCTGGAGTACAGGGAGGCTGGTGAACCCTCCCCCAGCTAGCAGCCCTGTTCCTCGGGCATGAGGCTCAGTAACCCTTCCTCACAGGCTCTACTCTGGGATGGCCAGGAACGATGGCTTTCAGAGTTAAACTGAAAGAGGAAGTTGATTCTAAAACTATTCCTGTCAGCTCTCACTATACCAAAACACCAAGGACTCTCCCACTTTTGTAACATGTATCAAACTGCTAGAAATGAACTGTCATCTAAGACTTGGACATCTTTTATGTTGCACTGAGATTTCATTGTGATCATTATTTAACAGATTTTAAAATGCATATATATTTAAAAATACTACGCGAGAGTTAAGAAACTTTTAGAACTTCATTTAAAAATAATTAATAGTCTCTACTACAAAGTTAACCGGAAAAGGGCCCAACATTACACAAAAGATGAACTCTTTGAGGCATGAAGTGAATTATTTTAGTGTACAAAAAAGCTCCAAGTCTCTTTACTCTCTGTGTAAGTGGTATTTTAGATCATGGAATTTTACACACACTCTAAATTCTACAAAGAATCTCCAAGGTTCTTCAGAGGAGAGTATACAAAGAGTCTGTATACACTGTCTGAACCCTTGTTTGCAGGGGCCTGAAGACACCGGTGACCCATTTTGAATTCTGTTTCAGGAGGAGTAACAACCTCCAGACATTAGACCACTGCACTTGGACTAAGCTGTCTCACTCAAGTCTTGGAAACCAATACAAGCTAAAAATGAAACGAAGTCAGGCCCAGGGATTTAGCTCAGTGGTTCTGCCACCTGCCTCACAAGCACAAGGTCCTGAGTTTGATCCCTGGTACTAAAAAAAAAAAAGGAAACAAAGTCCCACACCTAAGTATCCAAATGTCTATGGCTTGGGTGCTACTTTTCACAAAAATAAGGCAGGTTACCTATAATTAGAATACATTTGGTAAACCACAAACAGAGCTGCTGAGAGCCATTCCAGACGCTGAAGCCCACCGCTGTTTAGAGCTCGACTCGTCTGGGATGCAAGTGTGGCCAAGCCAAGGCCAGCGAGGACGGCTACCACTGCATTGCTCTGCATCCAGAACCGTTCCACCTGTAAGAGACACATAAACCATGCGTCCAGTTGGCCAGCTCATGCGATCAATCAGGTACTTATATATTCTAAAAATACACTGCTCACACCTAGTGCTACCCCTGCTTTCATGCAGATCAGATCTTGTTAACGGAGCTTCTAAATCCAACCCCATACAGATTGCTTCATTTTTTCAATTTTCAAACAAAGTCTGACATGAACCTCTTTCTCTTCATTTTTAAAATAATTTTTTATTTTTGGTGGTGCTGAGGATGAAACTCAGGGCCTTGTGCACGCTAGACAAGCATTTGACGACTGAGTCATATCCTGAGCCTGCATTTTCCTTCTTGATGCACACATTCACTTTAATACTATAACCGTCCATCTTGGGCTCCAGAAATGGGGTGGAGGAGCAGGAAAACGCTCTGGTCTGACTTCTAGCCTCCCTCCCTGTGAAGGAGCTCCATGAATCTAACAAGCCTAGGGCCCCCCTTGCCTCTTCCGGCGAGACCAAGAAACTGAGCCTGCAAGGCCGCCCGTCTCCCCACCCTGCTGCCACTCCCCACTCTCAGAAAGGAGCTGCCCACAGGAAGCATCTGTCCAAGAGCAGAGTCTATTCCCAAGCGCCAGGGCTGGGGGTGATGGGGCCAGGCCTGTCTAGCACAGCCCTGAAGGTGACTCATGGCTGGGTCTGCCCGCTCTGCGGCACACACAGGAGCCACAGACAGGAGCTCAGGGTGATTAGCAAGCAAGTGGTCCGTCCTCCATTTACACTGCTTATCTTGTTTATCAGTTGATGTATGTATACAGTTTCTATTATGAGGGGAAGAAATGCCCTAATCTCAGAGATGGCTGCTGGGCAAACAGTTCTGCAGCACAGTCCTGGGACTGGTGAGGTAAATAAGGAATGTGTTGGTAAGTGCCCTCAGTTATAACACTCATTTCTTTTGCTACTCTAAAAAATTTCCAGGCGAAATGCAATTGTACATATATTTACAAGTGTAAACACACACACACACACACACACACATATACACACAATGACTAAAATATCTGAGATTTGTTTTTCTATTTCACTACAGTGTTAACTAAATGTTGCAACTCCTCTCTAAAAATAGGCTTAGTCTTAATGGGTCAATAATTTAACTTCTGATTTATTTTATTCCTGAAATCGTTTGCTCTTCTACAAGGCTCATGAAAGACAAATTTGTACAATCCTCAGAAACTTTCCAGTTAAAGGATATATCTAAGTACAACTTACCACACCCATGAAAAGTGGTTTAGAAATATCTAAATTTGCCCTCCAGGCAAAGAACAATGAGTAAATGTAAAACATTCCAGTAAAAAGCCAAACTAATGGCGAATTCTGTCTGTTCCTACAAAAAAAAAATACAAGTATTGCAAAGTTAATATGCATGAACATCATACTATTACACAGCTTTAAACTAAAGGAAAACATTTCCATTTCCAAAACTTACCTTTTTAAAGAAGAAAAACCTCAGTTTTAAAAATCTGAGTAGGAACAGATAACCAAAACCTAGTAATAAACCTGAATTGCATACTTAGGCAACTTAACTTGGAGCTATGAGGCAAAGGATATTCACAGACAAAACACACACTATTAATCTTGTTAAATTTCAGAAGTAATCAAACATATAAAACAAAAGCCTTTTTTCATGCTTGAAATAATAAAGATTTAAAAGTGATAAATCTCAATGTCAGTTAGAATTTAGGATGGGAATGTATGTTAGTATAATCCTTGAGAAAAATTAATTAAATAATATCTCTATGAAGAACCTTTATACTCATAATTATTTACTCAGTCATTTGAAATTCAAGTATAAATCTTGAAGCAATAAACAGAAATATGAAAAATGTCAGTGTATAAAAATGCTCTAGGATTATTATCACTTATAAGTCGAAAAAGTAGAAGCAATCTAATGATTCTCAAATGGGAGAACATTTAAATTCATTCTTCTATGGTCACAGGATGGAATATAGGCATTTAAATGATTTTTTTTTTAGTTTTATTGGTACCTTTTAGGTATACAATTCATTTCCATTTATCATTGGGTGTTTGTACCTGAACATGATGCATCTTAGTTCTTATTTTCTTCCCCATTACCTATGTGCCCTTCACTCCCACCACTCTTCCCTATTTACATAGACTTTGTTTCCTTTTTTTTTTTGTACTGGTGATTGAACTCGGGTCCTTGCGCTTGTGCAGCCGGCGGCAAACCCACTGAGCTAAATCCCTGGCCCAGGATTTAAATGATTTAAAGCTTCATATTTTTTGGTATGGGAAAACGTTAACAATATAATGTTAAGTATTAAGCAAATAAAACATACATATATGTACAGGTGTACATTTACATATAAATACATTCAACAGATGTGAAAGTACAATGAATAAAAATTAATGGGGACTAACAGAGCTACATTTTAAGGCTTTTTTTTTTTATTATCAGAGGAATTTAAACAGTTATTTGCTTCCTTTGTAAATCAAAAATAATAACTAGCCCTGGACAGAGTAAGCAATCAAACCCAAAGCTTAAGACATCAAATGACCTATCTCTTTGCATAAACTAATTGCTTTTTGACACACTGATATATAATCAGGAGATAAAATGAGCTAAGTTCTTCCTAGCTTCTTCATTTTCTTTTTTTTTGTGCCAGGGATCAAACTTGGGACCCTGTGCTTGCAAGGCAGGCGCCGGAACCACTAAGCTAAATCCCCAGCCCTCTTCTTCATTTTCTTAATGAAGCATATTTGCCTTAACAGAGATGGTTAGCAGAGTTACTGATTTGGAACATAAAGAATACTGGCAATGTTCTACAATGATATACTGCAAACATTCATTCAGCCATGGTAAGAATAATGGCAAAAGGAATCATTTTACTCACTTTCTTGCTGAACATATATTTGCCCACACTGCAAGAGCTTGAATGTTGAGTGAGAGTTCCATCCTCATACTTGTTACTTGAGAACTGTGAAAAACAAACTAACTTATTGTGGGCAGAAAACAAGTTTGGCTAATTACAAATAAAATATTCTCTGTAGAATGTATTTGACCATCATCATAGAAAGAGTTAAATACTTCTAAGATATTTTACAATTGTAAGTTTTGAATATTAACATGTATAATTTGTGATGGGATCTAGATAAATAATTCTGTGGTTTTGTTTGTTTGTTTGTTTTGTTTTTTGTTTTTGAGACAGGGTCTACCATGTAGTCCAGGCTGGCCTCGAACTCAAGATGATCCTCCTACCTCAGCCTCCCAAGTGCTGGGATTACAAGTATGTGCCACCACACCCAGCTAATAATTCTGTGTTTTTAATACTGGTATACTGAATGGAATATTCCAATCAGTATAATGAGTTGTTTAAAATGGGTTTTTGAATTTTATTCTGTTGATAATGTGGACATGGCTGCCAGTAATTTAGCAACTGAAAAAAATTAACTAGAGGCATTTTTTGGAGTTAATCATGAAGAGAAAACAAAAAAGGCCAAGAGAAGTAATCTCCAACCTTTTTTTTTTTTGCAAGCAAACAAACAGCTAAGAAGCATTCTTCAAGTGTTCTTTAAAATGGCCACTGCTGTAGCAGCCTTTGATTTTTAAAAAAGAAACAATTATATACCATCTCCATGAGCTTTCTTCTACCTACTGGCAATTTTACTGGAGAAAATGTGACACCATAATTATGGAAACCACACAATACGTATTTTACTAATGGAGACTCACCTACTGTAAGAAGCTATCCGAACTCATTTGCAAATATACTTGAAAAATTGATTCTAGCATGAGGCTCATTCCTTCAAAAGAAATGAAGTTAGTCTCTAAATTAATTCTTAGAGAACTGTTTCCTAAACATAAGCTCTAAAAGATGGTCACCGCCTAAGGTTAGATTCAATAATTCCCTTGTACAGGATTGCAATTTAGAGATACGCACGGGGAAAGAATTTAATTTGCTTGGCTGGAAAAGGGCAGATGATGAGGTCCTATCACTCTGAAGAATTTTTTCCTAAGTTCATTATTAGTTGTCTTTTTCAACACTCCTGTCCACCTGAAACAACAGAAGACTGAAAACTCTCACTCCGAAGGCTGGGTTCTGCCTCTGGTCTACACGATGACTTAGCAAATAGTGCGGATGGGAGTGGGCATCGCTTCGGTCTGGGCCTTTTCTGGGTATAAGACCCAATAGCTATTATTTTAATATGAAGGAGGGCTTTAATGTCCCCCCCCCCAGGTGACATTTATGTACAAATAATACACGTTGGATGCATGGTCTAAGGTTCTTTTTGAGAGAGGTTAGGGTCCCCGTAGGATTTGCTCAAGTAAATGTAAGCCTAACCCTGGACGCTGTAGTGTGCCAGCATGGGGAAGGTAGGCAAAGCAGAGCAGAGAGCAGAGAGAACAGAGTGAATTAAAGAAAACTGAGCTCTTGCTACTTTCTCCTCTGTAAAAAGTGAAAAGGAATCACAAAACTCTTAAGTCAGACATAAAAAGAAATATTTAAAATCAACTATAAAAATCTTCAAAAGGCTATACAAGAATAATTGTTGATAGGGAAATATTTTCCAGATATGGTGTAAAGTGAGAAGCAGTAGGCTAATAAAATAGCATGTATAATATGATCTTTTTTTTTTTTTTTTTTGAGACAGTGTCTCTCTATGTAGCCCAGGCTGGCCTTGAATTCATGCTCCTCCTGCTTCAGCTTCCCCTGAGGGCTGGGTTACAGGTATGTGGCATCACCCTCAACAATTATCTCACTTATACACACACACACACACACACACACACACACACACAAAAGTTCAGAAGAATACAGAGAAAAATGTTAACAAACTAAGAATAGTAGATATCTTGAATGTTGCAATTATAGGTCCTTTTAATTTTCTTATTTTCTAATTTCAATAATAATATATGTATAATAATATAATGTAAAGATATGCATCTTTTTGGAGTGGGAAAAGTTGTTTAAAAAAGAAAGAAAAGGCGAGCGAAAGTAAGCAAACTAGTTAGCACACAAGGCAAACTGTGACAACCTAGGAATGGCCTCCTATATAAAGGTGAAATATTCTCTTCATACTTTCTTCAAGTACCCCAGAGAATGCCAAACTGGTAATTAGCTGGTAATATCACTTTCGTGTTGTAAGAAACCTATTTTATTCAGGAGTTTTAGAGTATTAAAATTGTTATGGATATTTTTAAGTTGCCACACATATTTCCAACTTGTCTTAATCTGAGTAATTTTAAGCAACTATTAATCCATTTTTAAAGAACACTACTGGATAATATAGATGAAAATATATCTGCTTAAACTGGCTCTAATAAGGTTGGCTGTTTAAAATATGTAAGTCAAAAACCGAGCTTATGACAAAGACAGCTAAAAATAATCATAAAGATATAAATTGAGCTCTGAAGAACTAAAAACATAGTTCCAGCCAAAATAACAAGAAAATAATTGTTCAAACTATGTGAAATACAGTGTTATAAAATTTCTGTATGATAAAGACAATATAAAACCCAGAACAAAGAATAAATTGTTTTTTTTGATACTGGGGATCGAATTCACAACCAGCAACAGCACCACTGAGCTAAATCCCAAGCTCAAGAATAAATTGTTTATAAAGCAACACTACACAGGGTAATTTTGCATCCCATTGGAAGTTGAAACATTTTAGTTTTTTAGGCTCCATCGATTCTTCCAATATTCTTATTCACTGTTGTATTTACTGCTCACTTTAAACTTTATCTTAGTGAGAAAAAAAGTGAGAATATATGACAATACTGCATTTGCAAACAACTATTAATTGTAGAGATGAAAACTAATGCTCAGATACTTTTTCAAGTATCTGAGTATCAAAAAGAACCCAGCAATCCTTAACAGTCCTTTAAAAGAACTAATGGATATTTACTTAAAAATAGTTTCAAATATTTTATACTCACAGCAGTATTTTAGACATACTGGATCCTGTTTCAGATTTGGCCTAAACACAAAAGACAACACATATTTGCATAAGCATTAAACTTCAGCTTTGTTACTTTACTGCATTTTAATGATCTTCACTTAAAAGCTACACGTTTTCAAAATACAATGCATATCTCTCTTCTTTCAAAGTCCACAAAGCCTTGTTGAATTTTTAAAGTCAGTAAAAACAAAACTTGGACAACTTTCAGGAAGGATATTAGAAATAACTGGCTAAAAATCAGTTCAACTATTCTAGTAGGAATGATCGACACATTTTAATAAATTAATAGACTTTTTAATGCTTCTGTTATGAACACTCTTTACACTCTTCTTTGGCCACTTTGATTAGAGTTCATTACAACATCATAGTCCATAATTTCACAATTATGAGTGAACAGTACAAAGTTCAAATCTGGATTGATCAATATAAATAAAGAGAATAAATTTAAAATATCAAACTTTTAAATGTCAATAATAATTATTTTTTATTTACCTATTTTTTGAAATGTTTAATATCTATATAAGATATAATATCTAATATCTCTATGTCAAATATACATAATAAATATTTAAGGGATAAAGAGCTTTTTAAAAAAAATCTACAGATTCACCATTCATTTAAGAAACAAAACCTTATCAATACCATGAAGTATCAACAAAGCCCCCACAGGCCTCTCAGTCCTTAGCCCCCAGACATAACTATGACCTTGAACTTGGTGTTCATGATTCCCCTACTTTTTACAAAGATAGTTTTACTACTTTTGGTGTTTTTTTGATACCAGGGATCAAACTTGGGACCTTGTGCTTGCGAGGCAGGTGCCAGAACCACTGAGCTAAATCCCCGGCCCAGTTTTACTACTTTTGAATGTATCTTCAAACAAGATTGTTTAGGGTTTGCAATGTTTAGAATTCTGTATGAGTGGGGTCATACACAATATACTTGAGACTCACTTTCTTAAGCAGCGCACAGAACACAAACCATGCGAGAAAAACTTGGAAGAGCTCTCTATACCAAAATAGCTTCTATTTGTCCTTTTCTCAGGCAACTTTTACTGTAACTATGGTGAGCGGTTTTCCCTACTATGTCTCAGGGAAAGCGAGGCCTTCTGAATTTTTTTACAGCACACTAATCCCATTTACCGAACTTATACTTTATGAAGTATTTATAGGTAGGTCTTCAGTTTTAAACACTAATTTGTAACACAAACACTGTTCATCAAATATTTTTAGGAAATGTTTTGGTCAAGGTAAATTAAAATGTTTGAAGTTTCTTTCCCTCGATTCTTTCCAGGTATGTCTATTCACAGATCAAGCGCCACACTGGTACCCAATGTTAACAAGAGTGAAAACCTTCCACTGTAAGCAGCAGATTCCTTCTAATGCCTGTCATCCTGAAAGGAATATCTGGGATATACACAGCATGATTTTGCGTAAGGGCCACAAGTTTATTTTATTTTTTTTGGTACTGGGGATTGAACTTGAGACCTTGTGCCTGAGGCAGGTGGCGAAACCACTGAGCTAAATCCCTGGCCCATGGCCACATGTTTATTTTATAAATAACTAGATGAAAATTCCATCTACTGTCACTGATAAACAATGACTCTTTTCTCCATAAAGGCCCAAGCATAAGTTTTGCCACTTATTTCCTTAGAAGAGCTTTAAGTACAAGCTTACTAGGCTGAATGTTCCATACTCTTCCCTGAGCAAGTGTGTCAGAAAGCCTCGCAGAGTGGTCTGGTCTCCCCAGGTCCAGCGGGCCTCGTTGAGGTAGGACGAGACAGGGAGGTAGAGGTACGGCAGCAAGCCAGCTGAGAAGGCCAGGCCCAGCTTTACCACGGATCCCAGGGACAGCTCCTGCATCAGAGCGCATGGTGGTGTGACAGTGTTTATTCTACTTGATTCGTCCTAGAACTTCAAGAATATATCAAGGAAAACATCAAATATGTTTGCTCAAAGCTCATCTCTCAATTTATATCAAGTCACTCCCGAATACTATGTAACCCTTCTGATTACTATGGATTACCAGGAAATTGCACTGGCCTGAACTTCTTTACCTGGCAGGGGAAATAGGAGTGAAGCAAATAGGTATTAGAGAAGACTAAGGAATATTGTGTTTATTGCATCTTTTACATTTAAAACCATGTCATGACACGCAGCACTGCACAGCTGAGGTAATCACGTGGGACTGATTATGTGTTGTTTGGCTGATTTTGAATATGCCCCAAATGCCATTCTCATACCAGTTCACCTCATCACCACCATTAGGAGTGGACTCCAAGTATATGCTTTATTATAATTATATATTGACAACGTCATTCTTTCTGCAAGGGCTAGGAACATTTCACAGAAATGTCTGGCACAAATAAAACTAGCTCATGAATAACCTCCAAGCTCACCTAATTGTTTTCTCCTCTCAAGGTATATTTAAGATGGTACATTAAAGGGAACATGTTGTTAAATATAACAGTGTCTTCTCATATATCGTATTTGGGAGAAATGTATTTCTGACCTGTACATTCCTAAAACAAAGGACTACATCAACCAAGTTTCATAAAGATTAAATCCAGAAGACTGTGAGTTCTGGTATATCAGAAAGGTTGAATCACTGGCTGCTTCAATAACTGGGAAAGAGGGGTCTCTTATAAATATCGCAATTGGAAATTTCCAATTTTCTTTCACAGAAAAATCAATCTGTGTGAATGAATATAAACACCATCATTCCCATTCACCAGAAGTAGAACAAGCAGATTTACGTTAGCGTTTTCAAATAAACATTCTTAATTGAAAGTGGAGTGTTTTTATTGTATCACTGATTCCATCTGAGATTTCTATGGCAGTAATGAGATGCATGAAAAATGACGGCGTGAAAAGGTGTGGAAATACCCAATCTAACAACATGCCTTTGCTAGCCTTAAAAGTGGTTTCAGGGAAAGTGAATGCTTCTAGTTTGGCAGTAAGATGCAGTTGCTGCAATGTTTTCCTTCTGTGTGAGAAATAAATGGGAGACAGTGCTATGGGAGTCATTACAGAGTGTGGGAAGGGCTCCGTCTTCGCAGCACACTGGAATCACCTGGGAAGTAAGAAAGGAAGCAAAACAGACTGAGCTTTGGGGTTCACCCCCCTGATCAATGATACTACAACTATGTGGGGTGGGGACAAGTTGCAGCACAATACACACATGTGCCTGTGCATCTGTGTGCATGGAACATGTTGTGTACACATGTGCTCACACAGGCTTCCCAGATAATAAAGTGGTGCAGCCAGGGCTGAGACCAACCGACCCAGAACTCCTTGCCTCAAGTCACCTCACAGTGAGGTCCAGCAACCCTAGGACTTCACTGTTGACCTTATGTTCTAGCCTCTGCTACTACATAATGGACCTGAAAGAGATATGTTGAAGAGTCACAGTTCTACAAATTTCATCATTCCTCAACAGCTTTCCTCCGTGAAGGGCAAACTGCCCCTTAAACCATCAACTCTGAGTTCTGCACATTCTACACAAAGCATCTGTTTCTGGAGGCCCTTCTGGAGGATGCACCTCTCTGGCATGTGCTCCAGTTGGAAGCCCAACAGGACAGTGGGCCACACCGTCTGTCCACCCACCTCTGTGCATCCCACCCCTCAGCATTCTCCTGCTCTCTTCAAATGCACTTATCTCATTATTCTTGACCCTTTCTGGAGGAGTAATGGAAGTCTTTTTCATGAATGTCTTTAGTTGTGCTGACACGGGTGCCTTGATGTCCTAAATCAATCCAAAACATTGACCTTTCAGGGTCATTCTGACTATGAAGAAGAGCCACAAGTCACATGGTGACAGCTTTGATGAATAGAACAGATGAGGACACACCATAATGTTTTTACAAGCCTGCCTTTCTATTGGATAGCAGCAGGCAGCAGTATTCACCACATTTTTTATCATTTCTGTTAAAGACATAAAATAAGACTTCAGGAGGTGCTTCAAAGTTGGGGAAGTATTTTGAGGAGGATTAACGGCAATGTGTCTTTTCTTTTTTTTCCTGGTACCAGGGATCGAACTCAGGGTCTTGCACTTATGAGGCAGGTGCGGTGCCACTGAGCTACATCCCTGGCCCAGTGTGTCTTTTACTAGAGTAAATTTCTTTATTTAAATGTTCACTGTATATTTTGATCAACCCTTGTATCTAAAGCTTTGGTATAACTTTCTCTATTTCTATATTCTAATTTTATTCTATTTATTATGTGTTTTCTATTAGAATTCTGATTATAGCAGGGCACAATTAGCAAATAGTAAGATGCCAAATAAATGCAGCCCTTTCTTCACAAAAAAAAAGTAAAAAGATGCCAATACTAGCTTTGTTAGGAATTATTCACCCTTTAGGAGGAAGCTTACCAGAGTAAAGGGCATTTATCTTCCAAGTGTTTGTGTCTAACCCAACTTTCTGCCTTTTCCTTGCCCAAATCTTGCAATGCCTAACAGAGTAATTTTCCTATATTGCTTCTTACCGACATTTTAATTAACAATAATTTTTCTTTCAGAGAAAGATGAAATGAAGATCAATTATTTCTCCTTCTAGGGAAATATGTTCGGAGAAAACAGACTGTTACTTTTCAGGGATTTTAATTAGTTCACAGCAGCAGCGACGTCACCTGCTTGTTGAGAGCTAAATCTCCAGCACGTGGTGGTGGGAGTCAATGACACAGGGTGGCACTCAACATGCAGTTAAATAGCGAGTGATGTATTCTGGCATTCACCTGTGTCTTCAAATGTGTAAGAAAACCACTGAAAACCCTGTATCCTCTTTTCATTGAGGTGCTGCTCTGAATCACGGAGAAAATTACAAAATAGGCCAGATGCCACTGCAATCAATATTGCATAATTTTTGTAAATCCTCTTTTTTTTTTAAGTCAATACTGTTAAGGCCAAAGGCTATTTATGCTTTACATAAAACCTATGAAAAATTAAAGCTCCAAGTTTTCTAGTGCCATAAATATTGCACTTCACTTACACGAAATATGATGTATTTTTATTTTGATAAATTTCAAAACCTACCTTCTCTTTTAAAAGTCGAATGAGAATCCAAGGTATTATGCATAGAACATAGATTACTATTGTGTGCTGATTACATAAACTAAGGCCACAGCAGAAAGCACCAATTTTAGCTATCTGAAAATAAATAGGAAAAAAACTTAATTAGAAATTCATCTAAAACTCTAGGACAATGACAAAAAGCTACTCTTACTATTAAAACCAAACATTTGGAATCATCATTCAGGTTAAAATCCACCTCTTGTATGCAAATAATTATACTTTATTGGCCACTAATATTTATGAGTATAATTTTTTTGAGACAAGGTCTCACCCTGTTTTCCAGGCTGGCCTCGAACCCATGATCTTCCTGCTTCAGCATCTGGTGTGCTAGGATTACAAGTTATGCTTCACCACATCCAGTTTTATCACCATAATTTTTTGTTAATGTTTCCCATTCTTGTCAAACAACTGCAGTTTGACCTAAAATGACTATCTTCCAGCTGACTCTTAGCAAGTCCTGTAAGTAGATCAGGACTTAACAGCAACAAGGCAGTGCATGATTCCTTTCTTTGTTCAATTTTAACTGATGAGCGCATGTGTGCAGTACATGTCCACACTCTTTGTGCGCAGCCAGTGCACACACGTAACACATCCTCACTCTTTTCCTCGTCCCCAACCCTCATCCCTCCCCTCCACCCATCTTGAGCCCTTCCTTTCTATAGCTCAGCAACTGTTTTCCTTTTTTCTTACTACATACATGAATGATAGCACTTCATACTGTATTTATATTTAGAAGCCTCGGTAGTAGTTTAACCTTGTGGGACATGCACTCATTGCACAGTTGACAGAGTCGCTGCTTGAGCGCACTCAGCAGGCTTCTCTGGTTCTCTTCTCACGCAGGCCCAGATACGGAGCTCCATGCCCATCATGCGGTGTCCACTTTAGCAAAAGCACCACTAAGTCAGCACAAACAGAAGCCCTCACTCACCCTCCACATCTGGGTACTGGGTACTTGGGAGGGGTCGGATCTCACTCCTCTTCCTGCACCTCTACCCTCATCACCCCGGCCCTCCTTCTGTGAGAACTCTGCAGGGTCAGTTGAGTCAGATTCCCCTCTGCCCTGTTGCCTCCACTCAGGAACTTTTCACCCACTGACCCTGCCTGTGCCTGGGATATCAGCTCTCACTTTTCCTGGTTCTTGGAATTGAGCCCGATTTCTCTCCCCTACAGCAAACCCCCGCTGCCGTTGTCCCTAAACCTGAAGCTGAATCAAGTGTGTTCACACTTTTTAACCAAATGTATTAAATAACTTTTCTTTAATATAATGAGAAAAAGACTATTTTAAACAAAAAAGTCTAATAGCATCATTGATCTGTTTATGGGAACCACAGGTAAGTCATAGTATTCTTTGGTTTTGATATTCTTTGAGAACGTAAGGCTGCCACACACTAAGATAATCTAACATTTTTCAGTGTGTAGATGGGAAGCTCTTACAAGACATTCAAATGATTTTTCTATATGTATGTTAAAAATTAGTGCATATTAACTTTACAAAATATTGGGTTTCATATGTAAATAGGGAGGGTTGGAGGGGTTGAAGGGAGGGCAGGGGGATGGGGAAAAAATAAGAACCGAGAGAGATTATGTAAAGGTGCAAATTCCCAATGATGAATGTCATTATATTATATACCTAAAATGTACCAATAAAATTAATAAAAAAAGTTTTGATAATAAGTGTAATCTCTTCTGAGCTACTTTTTACATTTGATACTCTTAGTTTAAACAAATACAGATTTGATCATTTTCATAATCAGTAAGTCAATGAATTATAATGGTCTACAATTTAAGGTGGTCGGTCCATCTAAAACCTGGCACTTTACAATCACACACACACACACACACACACACACACACACACACACAAAAGAACTAAGAAGTCTGCCTTACCTACAGCACTGAGGGTTTTATAATCCCTCCTCAAGAAACTTCTCAACTCTGAGGAGAAAAACTCCCATGTTCCATAAGGGCTATTGTGGGTCATTCACAATCAAAGCAGTGAGAACATTCTCTCCCTCAACATGCCTAGATTACCTTGACAGTAATCAGAATAGATAGTGAGACTTTTTTTTTTTTGGTACCAGGGATCGAACTCAGGACCTTGCACTTGCGAGGTAGGCGCTGGAACCACTGAGCTAAATCCCCAGCCCGAATCAGAATAGATAAACAGCATCTAAACCAAAGTTAAAATGAAACACAAGTCTGTCTAAAAATTAAAACAAAAATAATTTCACATTGATCAAAATAGGTTACCTTTGATCTTTCCTTTGCAGTTTCTGCCTCCTCAAAATGTACAGTAAGAGCCATAAGCAGCCCCACAAACAGATTATTTAAGCTAAAAACTTCTGCTGCAATGGACCACTGCCATGTTAGACGAGAAAATGAAAACACCCCCGCAGCAAGGATTCCTCCGGCGCGTGAGCCAGAAAGCCTGCAAATACAGATAACATGAAATCTTCTTTCTAACAAAAAGAACCGACTCTATTTTCCTTTTCAAAAACTGTACCAGCAGAAATTATGACAGCCACCCATCCAGCATCCTCCCGACACATTATATGGTTCATACATTACTTCATGTAATAACTCCTTCCAACAGATTCTAATTAGGAAGTCCACAGTCCATTATCAAGCAAAGCAACAAACTCATGGAAAGAATGAAGTTTCATTCTCTGGTGTTAGGTCTAGGATGCAAGCCAGTTCAGAAATGAAGAAATAGTAGCTAGTGGTAGCAAATGCGTCACGTCATACTAGATCAGTGAAGAAGAATGACCTCCATAAGTCCGAAATATGTTTAACAGTAAAAATTAGGAATGTCAAACACCTAGTCTGGACCCAGGTCCCTTCTTCTGTCTTTGTCACCCCACATAAGGCAAAGAATGTTTTGGTCACAATATCTGATGATTTTAATTACTTAATTTCTAATGTCTTTTTCTTTAGGCAAAATTGAAGTTTAAAATGCTAGTTTTAAAAGAGGGAGGTAGGAATGTGAGTTTCAGTAATACCATGAGAATCAAATGCAAGGCTGGGAAACAAACATCTTCCTCCCAGATCCAACAAGAGCTATGCATTTCAAACCCACCAAAAACCTGGAGCTCGGTTTAGAGATCTGATCTGAAACCAGTAACATGGCTGAACACATCAAACTAACACAGCTTCCTATTTTACTATAAACCTAAAACTATAAATATTACTGCTATTATTGAATATCTCTTTCTAATAGTGTTAGAAAATTTACCGTCTAATAATTATGACATGATCTGGCTCCAAGTCATTAATTTTTAATTGTATTGTTTTGTGTAAAAACTATGGAATAATTCTATGGATTTTAATCAACTGTCACAGAAAATGTTAGATAAAAATTTCAATATCATTGGTACTGGAGATATAGCTCAATGGTGCAGCTTGTGCTCTGCATGTTTGAGGTCCTGAGTTCAATCCCCAGGACAAAAAAATTAAAAAAATAAAAATAAACAGTTTCAAAAATAAAAGAAAAAGAGAAAGAAAAATTCATCAAACTTTCCTTTTCTCTTTGAGTTTCTACTGGAAATTTATTTCTGTTCTTTCCCTTAGAAAAATTAGCAGTTTCTTATTTCAGAGGCTCACACTGTCCCAGCAATCCAACTCAGCACCCTAAAGTCATTTTTTCCTTCTAAATTATTGTCCTATCCAGTCATTATTTTCAGTTTACATTCCCACTGCCTGAGACCAGGATATTTTTAATCGCTTAACTTGTCTGTATTCTGCAATATGGCACAGTATTAAATTTCCTAAAGCATATGCTGTGTGGCTACTCAGCCTCAAAGTTAAGGTCACTTCATTACATGCAGAATAAATTCTACATGAGTCAGACTGGAATCCAGGCTTCTAATAAACTGGGTTCCTCAGCCACAAATTACCAACTAATCAAATGTCTCACAATTCCCTAATATGATATGCCTCTCCCAACACCATACCTCTGCCATGCTAAACCCAAGAATGTCCTCCCTATTCCTAAATAGGGAAAAATATTACTCTTTTCTCAAATTTCTCAATTCCCAGCTCTCTACCCTATCTCTGAACATCAGTAGCCTTTAACTATATCAATTATTTTGGCCTTGCAGTTGAAATATGAATTGAACTTCATTTATATTTATAGCACCTAGCCCTGAGCATACAAAGGAAACTTAATAATGAATGAATGAAGCTTAAAGTATTTCTAACACTTTCATGTATCAGTATTATTCTGGAAAGTTGGCATAAGAAGTAAGTTTTTCCTCTACTTAAAAAATAAAATGGCGTCTGTGGCAAGATGGCTGATTCCCAGGGTAGGAGTAGCTCAAGTACAAAATGAATCTGAAACATCTTGTCAAAATAAGAATTCTTTTAAAAAAAAATCAACAATTTTTTAAAATGACAAAATGGAGGTCCAGAGAGGACAGGTAATTTTCCAAAGGTCCCATGGCAATTAAGTGGCAAAACTGATACTCAAACTGTTAATACAGCCATCTAGTATCACAACACTGGGTGAAAAGATACCCATCTTCATCAGTGTCAGTTCAAATAATTCATTCCAGATTAGCTTATCTTTTTTTTTCTGGTACTGGGGATTGAACTCAGGACCTTGCTCTTGCAAGGCAGGCGCACCGTCACTGAGCTAAATCCCTGGCCCCTTATTCCAGATTAACAATAAACTGCACTTTTACTTAATTAAACATTACCTCCCAGAGTGAAGAGTAGGCTATAGTAAGTCTGGTTATTAGAATTGTGTTTATTTCCACGTTTTATCAAAATAATCCACTACAAGCTTAATACTATTGAAAAACCTCTGGAATCAAGTTTTAAATCTATATTTTGTTAACAGGAAATTTTTTCAAAGCTTAAAACCATCAAATGGTTATTAAGGAGAAATGAGAAGAAAGTCCTGGTCCTGGAAATGAATTCTCAGGAAGAAAATTCAAGACTAACGAATCTGCAAAGACTTTTTAACTCGCTATCACACTCAGGGAGACATCCTAAAGTATTCGAACTGTTGAGATTAATTATTGGAATTGTGAACTATGGTAACTTTCTTTCCAAATATTTCATAAGGTTTTAAAAGTTTAAGAGAATAAGGTAAAATTTTATGTTTTGATGATAAAATTTATCATTACACATAGTTAGCTACATAACATTTTGTGATAGACACATCAGCAAGATCTACAATCTGAATTTTTTCTATACCCTGCCAAGGTCAGGATAGTTTTGCAATAAATAATCTACATATTTTTTCACCTGATTATCTTTACTACCAAAGAAATAATTTGAGGCTTCTGAATAAAGTTAAGAAGAGAAGGTAACTAACTGATAATAAGAAACAGTAATGAAAATCAAACCTATAATCTCAACTATTTAGCATCAAACAAATTTCCTGGAGCTCAAACTAAGCCTCAAGAGTTTGGATTTAGTTCTAATGTAAGTTGAAGATATATAAGGGATGACTGAAAGATATGGTGAATGTTTAAATTTTTAAAAAACTTACTATAGTAAAAGACAAGAATGATGGGATAAGTATTCCAATCAAAGGGGAATATTTTAAGGGGGATTAATAGCAATATATCTTTTACTGTAATAAATTTTAAAATGTAAGCCTTAACTGTATTTTATGACCATCACACATTGATTGATCAAGCATTTACAGCAAATTTCTATCAAATAAAAAATCACTGCAGTGGATTCTCAAGCACTTTATTCACTAGATCTGGCACCCTGACTTCTGGGTCCTCTCCAAGGTCAGAACATTGAGGCAGCCACAACAGAGCAACTAAAGACACTCACCAAAGAGGACTTCCAGAACTGTTCCAAGAAGTAGCAAGAAGGATGGGATAAGTGTGTTTGAATTGAGGGGAGGTATTCTGAGAGAGATTAATGGCAATGTGTCTTTACTATGATAGATTTTTTAAAAATTTAAATATTCACTGTATTGATCAAAAACACCTCCTAAGCATAGTGGATCTTCTGCTTCTTATCAGCACAGTATAAGGAGCTGACTTCTTTCTATAGATCCTGCACTTGTTACTGGCTTTTTAATTCTAGCCATTCTTGTGGATATGAAGTAGGGTCTCCCGAGTTCTGAGATACACTTCCCTAATGGCTAAAGATGCTCAGACTTCTGTGTCTACTGGCCATCTGTATATCTTCCTTGAAGAAATGTCTTTTCAGATCTTTTGCCCCATTCTTTAACTAGGATTATTTGTCCTTTTATAACTGAAGTGTAAAGTTCTTCCCAACTTTCTTTTAGAACATTTCTGCTAAACACAGTCAGTTGCCTGCAACCTGGAATCCTGCCTGAAACATGCTACCCTCTCTTTATGACAATTCCTCTCATGTTTTCAAATGAAATTGAAAAAATCTGAACGTAAACATGGAAGTTTTCTTGGTCTTGTGGAACACAGAAGAGACGAAGAATGCCTCCCAGCGCATAAAGTCCTATGTGCATCCACGTGTGGAAAAGAGTATGAAACATTTTGAAGGCCTTATATTCACCATTTACATTTTAATAAAATAATCTATATAGACTAAGACTGCATATATTTCTTTGATTTCAACAGCATTTTATAAGTCCAACTCTAGATCTCCCTTAAAATGAACACATTTTGACACACTGCCTTTAAAGTTTGCTTTATGCTAAGATTCAGAATCAACATTTACTGACTATATAAACGTGTAAAATGTACAAGTTAGTAGACTCAGGAAAGTAGAATTGGAAACATCTTTTATGGAAAATCAATGCAAGCTCAGGATTTGCAGCTGAGGGTGGAGACCACAGAGATTCTGGGTAGGGAGCAGTACCATGAGTGCAAAGGGCTGCTGCTGTGTCTCCTGCAGCCTGAGGCAGGCCTGGGGAGGACAGATGGAGCAAGCCTTTGGTCAGGAGGCACAAGAGGACAAGAAGAAAAGAATTCAAGCATGAACCATGGGCCCTTGATTGGATAGGGAAGGAAGTAGAGCCAGTAGGGAGCTGACAGAGGAAATAGAAAGGATGGACAAAGCATTGCTGGTCTCCATTAAACCAAAGACTGCGGAGGGCACCAATGAAAAGAGTAAGCTGAAAATGAAGGTCAGGCTAGGCAGTGAAAGAGGGTTGGGGAAGAAGGGATCTTGTTATGACTGTTAGAGGGTGAAACAGGCCAGCTAAATCCAACTGGATGCTATGTTGAAAGCAGCCCATGATGGAATGGTCTAATGAACTGCTCTTAAGTTTGTAAGATTTTAATCAAGTGTATTTGTCCTGTAAGCCACACAAGTACATCTGCTAGCTGAGTGCAACGCGGGAACACAGGTGTGCAGCCAGCAGCAGGGATCCCCCAAGCCAAGGCAAAGCAAGCCAGAAAAGGAAAGGATGATGGCTTCCTGAAGACTATGGTCTACATCCCTCTCACTGGTTCCGTGGGAAGATAATCTTATTTTACTGTT